ACAAATTAAACAAGCAAAATGAAACCTCACTCTCTTCCAATTTGATGCTCAGTTATGAATTGGAATGTGCTCAGTTTATAAGGAAAAAAGCTAAATTTTCCCAAACCATTAGATGTCTAATCATAAAAAAAAAGTGACCCCACCAAAACAGCAATGGAAAATGATGAAAATTGGATTTTATTTCTTTTTTTATTCGTAAGAGGTTAAGTATCTATACCTATATATACAAGAATCCACTTTCAATGGACATATAAGGTGGTGACCAGTAGTGTGAATATTCCCTGGATCAGTTGGTTTTAAAACACACCAGACCTATTAGCCATTCTTTTAAGGGTGAAACGGACCGGTTCCTTTTTCGGGTCCGATCGTCTAGTCCAATCCGATTTTGAAAACACTGTCAAATCAAATGGTTTTAACCATATGGAATTTTCATGGAGCTCCGGTCGGATCAGAAAAATTGGGAATTGGTCAGGTGACTGGTCCGTTTTACCCCAGAACCGTTATTTCACCAAAAACCGTTGATTTGGTCAGCAAATCATTGACTCGGGTGGTTGAACCATTTAAACTGTCCAACGGTTTTGGCTCTTTTATTTTTTTTGTCAGAGCGAGCCGCCCATTCGGTTCAAACTATTGGACTGTTCGACCCAAGAACCAAATCCCTGACTGGTTCGTTGTCCAATTCAGTTTTAAAAACCTTACTTTTGATAGTAAGCAAAATAGGAACATTATCTCGAGACAAATTTAGTGGAGACCTCTAAAAGAGGAGGATATCAAGATAAGTATCAGGCCATAAACAGTTTTGCGGAGGTCCTCGAGCTTGAGACCTATTTTATTGGAGTCACCACCATTAATTTTGTTGAAACTTGTGGCGCTAAATTTTGCTAACTCCCCCTGATAACCCCCTTCTGATCATTTCTTGTCTAAACAAGAAGACAAAAAAGCGGCAGACTGGGCTGCTCGGAAAACCCTCTCTTCTCAGCTACTCCTCTCCATTTTTGCTCTTTTGACATTCCTATACACTTAGTATCCATTTGCAGAGCTCATGTTTGGGGCTATCCCCATCGTGTGTGACTCCTGTTTCTTAACAAAATATATATATATGGTTTCAACCACATACCACTAGGGTTGAGAGTTCCAACCAAACTACACACCAAGTGATCAAAGAAATATAAATCTCTACTTATGTATTTACTTACTATCTATTCTCGCATTGAAATGTACTACTTAGTATTTATTTTCTTGCATCAAGTCCTTGCGTAGAGCAGATTAGGGGTGAACAAGAAAAACTGAAAAACTAAAAATCCAAATTGAACCGACAAGGCCAAACCAAAAATTCCGGTTATTCAGTATTTTTGAAAAATCAACGGTACCAGTTTGGTTTTGGTTAACCAATATAAAAAAACAATGATTAACCGATTATATATATATTATTTATAATAGAATATTTTGTATGTATTTTTAATTTTTTATTATATTTATATATTTATATAATATATTTTGTAAAAATCAAAAAGGCTGAAAAACCGACAAACCAAGCCAACAGTTAACCGAACTGTGAACACCCCTAGAGCAGATCACACATTAGCCCTAAGATGTTTTTTAATTAGAAAAGCAACTGCTTGAGCTTGAGAACTGCTTGTATAAGGAAGATCTGTATTACATTACACATTTTTGGTCATGATACCAAAGCAGATGCTCCCCACCAAAGTGGACCAGTATAGGCCTATCTATCTCGCTGTGCAATGTGCTCTATCAGTACGATTAAAGAGGTTCTTCCATCAGTTATTGACAAAGCTCAACACTCTTCTATCAATGGAAGAGGTATTTCCCCGATACTCAGCAAGGCTATGGAAAATAATCAACTTGTGGGGATTAAAGCTAGTCAAAGAAGCCCATCTATTTCTCATCTCTGTAATGCCAATGACTGCATCCTATTATTAAGGTCAATTTGGACAACTGTGCAAAACTGAATCAGGTCTTGGAAACTTTCACTAAAGCTACAGGGCTCAAGGTCAGCTAAGACAAAATCATCAGTATCTTTCAGAGCAAACACTCTGGGTTAGTTCAGAAGGATAATGAGCAAAAAGCCTAAAGATTCCTGAAGCTAAAGGAACCTCCAATTATGTGGGATTTCTATCTGTGGCAGGTCAAGAAACTCTTATCAAGTTGTGTCAACTTCTGCTAGCCCCATTTAGTCAATGCTCCAATATTTCAAATTGTCCAAAGGAATTTGTATGAAGCTAATTAAATAGCCAGTTAGGAAATTTTTTTCCATGGTGACAGCAGTGATAAGAAAAAACAAAAATAAAAATCATTGGGCATACTGAGGAAAACTGTGTAAGTCCAAATCGGAGGGTGGAATGGGCTTCAGATGGTTAGAAGAGTTTAACTTGGCTCTTCTTGCAAAAGGGGTGTGGCAGTTGATTCACAAATCAAAATCAAGAAGCTTTATGGGTTCGGGTTCGAGTGTTAAAGAACAAGTACTTGGAAAATACTTCAATTTGGAAGAAAATTTGGTAATTGCCCTTCTTGGGCTTGGAGGAGTTTGATCATGATGGGTCGAAACCTTCTAAGTAAAGGAGTTATTTGAAGGTCTGGTGCATGTTTTAGTTGAAAGATCGTTCCCCTGAAGGTAGCATTCGATGGATTCATAGCTTATCAGAAGATCTGGAGTCCAGTAATGCCCTTGTGGATAGAACTGTGGGTGGAAGAGTACTTTCTCGCTGGATATGTCCTCGGGGAGTTGTTAGACTTCATTAGGTGATGCAAACTCAGATGGGAAAGGCAGCTTTTGGCTTCATCTTAAGATCCCCCAATAGGATTCTAATTTCATCCAGGGGAAGTATTTTGAGAGGCACATGGATCTTAACTATGGAGGCCTTGGCAATTCATAGGGGTCTTAGAAGCAGTGGCTATGGGAGTGGAGTGTCATCCTTAATTGTTGAGTCTGATGCTTTGGAGCTCATTCACTTGATTCAGAAGCCTATTTCGACTCTTCATCATGAAATCCTACCTATTTTAGTAGGCATTCACAATCTATGTAGCAGGTTCTCTCCAATTTTGTTCTCATGGGTTAGTCGTGCAGTAAATAGTGCTGCCCATGCATTGGCTGCCTTCTATGGTTGGTTTGGGTGTGGTTCTTTGGCTCCCAGGTGGCTTAGGGATAATTGTTGTATTGGATTTGCCCTCTGTGTAGCCCCAGCTTTTCTTAGGCTTAGTTTGGAAGGAGTACAAATGCAAATATGTAGAATGAAAAATCTTATATTTTGTATTATTTTGTATGTATTTGCACCTTACATATTTGCATTTGTAAAATTGTATTCTTTTCAAACTAAGCTTTAATGAAATTTCGGCTCAGTTTCAAGAAGTACAAATAGTCAAATACAAATATGTAGAGTGCAAAACCTTGTTTTTTGTATTATATTGTATGTATTTGCACTGTACATATTTGCATTTATACTCCTTCCAAACTGAGCCTTATGTTTTCAGGCCCAATAGGCCTATATAATTTACTAGAATAATAGGAGTTTGGATTGGCCAGAGATAAAATCATGCGCAATGCACTGGGCAATCTATCATGAGTGAACACGCCAATGTTCTATACACACAAGGTGTGGGACCCATGTTTACAGAACATTAGCATATTCATCCTGATAGGTTGCCCAGCCTGTTGTGCATGATTTTGCGGCCAATTAATCCACACAAGTCCACACAAAGGATTCCTTTCTTTCTTTCTTTCATTTTTTTTTTAGAAAAATTATTAGATAAGATATACCCAATTATCCTCTAACTGCATCTTCTTAATCGTTCACACTAACAATACAAGGCACTTTGTTTACTCCCCTAATAGCAACAGTAGAAGTGGTGGCATTGGAAATATTAGACCATACTATGATACTACAATACAAGGGCATTACGAATAAAGATAAATTATAGGTAGCATTATAGTATATATATATATATATATAATTTAAAAATATAATGTATATTATATTATACAAGTATATATTAAAGAAATATATTTGTAAGTGTATAAAGATATATAATTATATAAACATTATATAGTATATATTGTTTTATTTAATGTAATATAATATAAAACATAATGCTTGAAACATATTATATGATATAAAATATCATTTATTATTCCAGAACAAAATAATATATATTATTCCTATGCAATATATTATATATTATATAATATTATCTTACTATAAGTATCATAATTTAATATAAGGGTCATTTGTTAAAGCATCTCTTGTAGTTTCATAGATTTACAAAAACCTACCCTATTAAGTTGCATCCAATTTCCTTAATCAACCTTCACTTAAGAATCCATTATATTTCTGTCTAAAAAGAATCCTTTTGTATTTCTATTTAAAAATGATAAAATGACCATATAAAGAAGCAAACATGGTGTCCTGCGATGACACTTCTTATACCATATTGTTTGTTTGAAGTAGCAAAACTCCATTTAAAGCATACTTCGGAAAGAGTTCAATTCGATACTTGGCCCAACTCCATTTTAAGACCTCATTTGGAATGAAAGGATTACTCTGTTTAAATAATGCTTTGGTAGAGCCACACTTAGCACGACTCCATGCTTGATTTGAAAAGAGTGATGTACATTAGTCCTTATTTTTCAATATTTGCCAGAGGTGGCATCAACCTCGAAGCTGTCTTGTTTACAGTTCATCAAATGTTCAAAAAGTCCTTATACAAAGTTTATTACCTTCAGACTAGAGCACCTTTTACTATTACAGAACATGTAAGAAAAGGAGAAAAAAGTGGAATTTTGGTGTAGGACATCTCAACAATAGATAGAATTTAACTACTCAATACTATACTTCTCTAATTGGATTACTACCATCTACAGCTTCCTTTGAATGGGTATATTTCTTTCTTTTTTATTAAGTGCACATTCATCAGAGAAGCTGAATATGCTACAAGACTCGATCAGTATTTAGATATCTAAAAGGCAAGGGAGAACACAACTAGCATGATACCAACCTACTGAATTAGCTTTGCATTCAAATCTACTATGGTAAAGAATGTTGGACAAAGATGATTCATAGCATTTTAGGTACCTAAGATAATGTTACAAGGTCCAACCTCACTGTCATCAAGGTTGGAACAAATGTGCTATTTCAATAACAATACAAAAGGAATGGACATGGTGAACGTCCAACCAGGGAACATCAACTTCTTCCTTCCGTTACATGGACGCCAAAGGATGCAGAACACCCAGAAAAGATAAGGCTTGCAAAATACTGGTCCAGAAGTCTTGACTGTTGGTTCCTGGCATCCACTAAACTGAGTTCCAAATTGTAATGCAGATGAAAAGTCTCCATTTAGGTTAAGTTTATAGCACTTTCTGCCAGTTTCGAGTGTGACAAATATGAATCCAAGTCATTGCACAAGGCAGCAGTAATTCCTGGACAGATGGAAACAATGCACTTAGTCATGCCACAACAGATTAAGCCCGTGGTGGGGGAACCAATAAGAAATTTCTTGGACTTTACATAATAGAATTTTAAGAAAAAAAAAATAGCAGGAGAAATATTTAGTAGCCTCGTTACAAGTAAGGTACTACCTAGTTTATTTGGGTCAACTGGTTCTAGACATTCTCACTGAACAAAAAGATATTATAGACCTGAAGTAGGAAATCTTTTAGACCATAAAAACAACTTTGATTGGATGCCTCTAACCTATATGGATTATTTTCCAAAGAATACAAACCTTGTCTGTTGACAGTTCAAAAATAATTGTATCTTGTAGATGGTTAGTTCATCCAAATGGATAGAATTTTTTTGTGAAATATCCCCAATGTACATATTATAAACTGAACACATTGGATTAGTTAAAAAAATATGCTCATAGATTCTAACACCATTACCGGTAGTATTTAAATTAAGATAGCATAGTGCATGTGCAAAGAAATAAACTAAAAACAGGCTTTTTTTGGACTTTCTCCTCAACTGGGATCATTTCTCAAGGTTGTTACACAAAAAATGGTTTTCAAAGAATTTCTCAGGTTTTCCATAATAGAATTTTAAGGAAAGATTATGTACGCTCTGGGATCAGGAGCTATTACAGTCTAGGATTTTATGGAAAATATTCAATAGCATAACTTCTAGGTTTAAAAATATACTGTTTCCTTAATATTTGTTACAGTGAATAAGGATTGTTTGTCATCCTACTAGTGGAGAAACGAGTGTGAAAATCATTTTAGAAGACGGGGGTGTAATTTGAAACAGCATAGCTTGGTTTAACAGAGAATTTTCTGGAGAAAATAAGCAATATTACCTCAATAGCGCCTTTTCTGTGGTGGTGGATATCCGGGCATCCCCATTCCAGCATCTTTTCTTCTCAACTGATTGGGGGAAAAAGGAATTAGAAAAAGAGAAAGCGATTGGGTAACAAAGATAAACCATCTAAGAATCAAAAACTAGAAAGACCTGTTGCTGCTGATGAGCCTGAGCAGCTGCAGCCCGCATAGGGATGCTGCTACCAGGATTCATTCCACCACCCATGCCAGCCTGAGAAGCAAGATTAAAAGCTGTCATGCCTGGAGGGGGTTGCACCCTTTGTTGCATGCCAACCATAGGCATTGGCCGAGGGACAGATCTAGCTGCCACTACAGGGGCAGCTGCTACACTCCCAGAAACTGCATTTCCAGATGAGACCTGAACACAAAAATCAGCACACAATTACACCACAAACGAAATGCAGTCAAAGGAAAATGATGGAGCTGTTGATAATAACAGAACTGTAAATGACCCGTTTAGGCCCATTAAACAAGTGTATAACCGGGGACCTCGCAAGATGGCCCATTATGGCTGAAAAGGAGGTAACCGGCATCTATAAATAGCCCATGAAATAATGAGAAAGGCATCAAGCCATTTTCAGAATCTCTCTCTCTCTCCTCTCTATTTTCTGATTTCAGGAGGCAGAGTCTCCCTTGAAGAAGACCCCTGTGGTGAGCAGGCTCTCATCAATTCTGGTATCAGAGCTTGAGATTTCATCCGGCGAATTGGTTCTGCATGCCGCATACCAGATCAGCGTCGGTAGAAGAGAGAGTGGATCGAATTGAGGTCGATCTGCACAAATTCTCCGACGACCTGCGAGAGATCAAGGAAGTGATCTCAGCGGTGATCTCACAGTGTGAGAAATGAATGCATCATCAAACAACAAAGAAAATGGTGACGAGAGTTCCAATCAAGACAATGCTCGCCGATTTGGCAGAAATAATCACCGGCAGATCAGAGTGGACTTTCCTGCTTTCAGTGGAGAAAATCCTCTTTCTTGGATCTACAGAGCAGAGCGATACTCTAATATCCAGGAGATCGCGAGCCATCAAAGAGTGGCGATTGCTTCGGTGTACTTAGGAGAGGCGATCAACTGGTTTCAGCGGTATAAATGATCTCATCCTCAGATGACGTGGAAAGAATTTTCGAAAGCCCTATGTATCCGTTTTGGACTGTGGACTTTCAAAAATTTCGATGAAGCTCTGCCGAAGCTGCGACAAGTAGGCACTGTGTGGGAATACCAGGTTGCATTTGAGCGACTGGCAATAAGAGTGTATGGCTGGCCGGAGAACGCACTCGTAGTATGCTTCATTGGCGGTCTCTGAGACGAGATATGGGTAGAGGTGAAGCCTATGCAACCTACTACCATGTCCACACCCATCAGACTAGCTAGACTCCACAAGGGCAGGCTAAATAGCTTGAGGAAAATAAACCGCTGCGTAGGACCAATCTTGAAGACTCCACCCAGTCATCCTGAAGGTCTGGCCGCCAAGGCAATGGCAGTACCAACTCAAACCATTCCCCTGAAGAAGCTCTCATGGTTGGAAATGCAGACCCGTAGGGAATGAGGACTCTGCTACAACTGCGATGAGAAATTCTTCCCTAGACACAAGTATAAGCGACATCAGGTGCTAACCTTACAAATCAATCCTAAGGGAGACTATGAAGATGATTGGGCCGATAACAAGGATGAACCGAGCCAATTAGGGGAACCGGGAGTGTCGGCCATTTCCTTACAAGCTCTAACGGGGACACATTCAGCCCAAACAATGCGAATGATGGACCAGCTTATGGGCCGACGGATTGCAGTGTTAATTGGCAGTGGTTGTACTCTAAATTTCATTACCGTTGTGCTGGCTTGGCAGTTTGGGGCTAGCGATTGAACCGACCATCCCATTCTCCGTCCATGTAGCTGATGGTAACTGTATCTGGTGCAACGGAGTATGCAAAGGGCTCAAGTTACAGATGCAAGGATGTGAATTCCAAGGGGATTTGTATCCGTGGGAATTTTGTAGGACTGATATGGTGTTAGAGATTCAATGGTTAAAAGAGTTGGGGTAGGTAACATGTGATTGGGCCCACCTCACAATGGATTTCCAGAGCCAAGGCAAGTGGTTTCACCTTAAAGGTTGGGAACCCGAGCCGATACAACAAGAGAAGTTAAACCTTATTCTGAAGGCGAGAACTGGTGCAAAGGGAGCTATACTAACGAGCCTGCTCACTGATTACTCAGATGTTTTCCAAGAACCCTCTGGCTTACCACCAGTGTGGTCGCATGACCATCGAATTCCAATCAAACCGGGTGTTGCACCTGCTAATGTGTGGCCCTATCGGTGGGATGTCCAGGTTTGATTTACAAACTGGATATTGAAAAAGCCTATGACCATGTTAATTGGAATTGTTTAGACAAAGTCATGGAAAAGATGAACTTTGGACAAAAGTGGAGGAATTGGATGAAAGTTTGTCTCTTCACCTAGATTTTCTATTCTGATCAATGGTCAATCTGCAGGCTTTTTTGAGAGCTCTAGAGGGTCAAGGCAGGGAGGTCCCCTTTCTCCCCTTCTCTTTATTTGTATTGCAGAGATCCTTACTCTATTTAGTCAGAAGACAACAACTTCTGGTCTGTGGGAAGGGTTTGCAATTTCCCCGGGGGTGAAAAAGTGAACATCCTTCAGTTTGCAGATGACACCTTATGTTTTTTAGATGCTTCTCTTGATCAGTTGGATAATCTGCTTGGGATCCTCAGCTGGTTTGAAGTAGTCACAGGGCTGAAAGTCAACCTTAACAAAAGTCAAGTCATTCCAGTGGGTGATGTCCCTAACCATGAAGATTGTGCTACTGTTTTGGCTA